AAAGTTAAAATTTAAAAAAGGCACAACCTTAATTTATATTAACTATTTTTAATATAAATTTAAATATATGTTGAATATAAATTTTAAAAAGGCACAACCTTAACTATGTTGAATATAAATTTAAATATATTTTTCATTTATTTAAATATGGTTTATTTTTAGTATTTATAAAATATATTAATTTTAAATTTTTAATCTTTTTTATTAATTATGTTAAAAATGAAAAATATTAATTAGTATACTTAAACTAAAAAAATATTTTAACTAAAGATAAATATATTTCTATAAATAGTTTAATTAAATAATATATTTATTATCTAATGTATATTGATATAAATGTTTTTTTGGTATATCAATTATATGACAATAACCATGATTAAGTAATTAATAATAATAAAGTAATAAATTTAAAAATTAGATTAAAAATAAAGTATTATAAAATAAAGTTGTAATAATTTGATTAAAATTGTAATTTTTTAATTAATTAAGTTAATGAGGAATTAAAATGTGATAATTTGATGTGTTTAATTTTTTTAATATAAATTTTTAAAATATAATTTAATTTCAATTGAAATTTTCAATTGAAAAATAAATTAAAAAATATTTTTTATTAAACTTTTCTTAAACAATGTATTGAATAGTTAATATCACTCTAGTCTTAATTTATTACAATTTAAATTTTTAATAAATTTAATTTATTTTTAATAATATTTTTATTTTAGTAATTTAAAATTAAATTTAATCTTCATTTTGTTAATATTGAGACCAAAGTTTATTTTTAAAGTATATTTTAAAAATTAAATTATTTTTAAAAAATAAATTAATTTTAAAAAATAAATTGTAAAAAATATACTAAAACAATTAAAGTATATTTATAAAAAAATAAATTTAAATATAATAAAAAAATAATATTCATTAGCGACCGATTTCAATTCGGTCATTATTTTCTCATTAGCGACCGATTTTAATTCGACCATTATTTCAATTTGTGATTCGATCGCTAAATCGATCGTTAAATGATTTTTTTATTTTAGTATGGAATAGCCACCGATTTAGCGACCGAAATTTTGCGACGCAAAATATTTGTCGCTATTTCGGTCGCTAAATAAAAAAGTGAAACTAAATCATATTTTGGTAGCTAAATCGGTCGTTAAATTGCAACTGAATTAACTCGGTCGCTAAATCGGTCGCTAATTGCGACCAAATTAAAGTGGTCGCTAAATTGGTTGCTAATTGCGACCGAATTAAATCGGTCGCTAATTGCGACCAAAATTAAATTGGTCGCTAAATCAGTCGTTAATTGCGACCGAAAAAATTCGGTCGCTAATTTCGGTGGCTAAATGTGTTTTTTCTTGTACTGACTTGTCATACGTTATGTGCAACAATAAATGAATCAAATGGTTCATATCTTAAACTCATTTGAATATCCACAATATTATATTTAGGATCCACTTTTGTACCTCTTCTTGATAGATCAAACCATTCACAATAAAAAACAACAACTTTTTTGGGATAACTTGAAGTATTGTACTTCAACTCATATATTTTCATAATTACTCCATAAAATTCATCTTCACCACTTTTTGTCAAACCCTTAACATAAACACCGCTGTTTATTGTCTTTTTTTCCTTGCTCCACGCATTTGTATGAAGTTTGTATCCATTCACAAAATATGCGTGTCATTCTTTAACGCATCGCATAGGGTGATTGGAAAAATTCCTTAGGTCTTGATTCTTCACACTATATGGCTCATTATGGATCTACAAATATAAAATGCACCATTTTTCACACATATAGGACAATCATTCCAACACATTTCAAATGGATACATCCACCTATATTGCATGGGTCCATCGAGCCAAGCTTCATATGGAAGTTGAATAGGGGGATGTTCCATTGAATCAAAGAATGCATGAGGAAATATCTCCAACTTGCAAAGAATAATTGGAATATTTTCTTCCATCTTAATAAGTATTTCCCTCTTCAACACTGTAAAACACAAATCTTTGAAGAAATGACTAATTTCAATAAGAGGATTTAAAACATCCTGTGGTAACGCACTAAATGCAACAGGAAGTAAACATTCCATGAATACATGATAATCATGACTTTTCAGGTCATGAATCCTCCCCTTTTTAGCATCAACACATCTTGCCAAGTTGGAAGAATAATCATCGAGCATCCTAATTTCTTTTAACTAACGACAAACTACCTTTGCTTGTTCAATAGTATAAGTGTAGTTTGTTTTAGGCTTTAACATTTTTCGTTAACTTGTGCCTTTAACTCCAAGTCTCCATGCCTACAATACAAAGCTATATTCTTCCTTGCCTTCTCATTATCTTTTGTTGTCCATTTACATTCATCACAGTGTTGAATATGTTATAAAAAAAAAAATTCTTTATATGCATTACATCAAGATTGTGTCTCAACAAATTATCTGTCAAATATAGGAGATCCCAAAATATGCTTCGTTTTGAACAATTATGCCACTTTATGTATCCTTCTATCCTTGTGATACCACACTCAGTTACTTTTGGTAAATCTTTTACTCTTCTCCAAACTTGTGTAGGTGTTAGCCTAGGAGGTAACCTTTCTACTTCAACTTCTCCCTTTCGAAAGGCTTTAATATTTCTTCTAAATGGATGATCATTTGGTAAGAATCTTCGATGCGAATCAAACCAACAACTTTTACGACCATAATTTAATGTAAAGGATTTTTTATGCTCCATGCAATATGAAAGCTAATCTACCATGAGTCCCCAAACCAGATAACATCCCATAAGCGGGAAAGTAATTAATTGTCAACATTTAAGCTGCCCTCATCATAAAATTTTGTTTCTTTGAAATATCGTATGTGAGAACACCATTCCACAATTTTTTCAAATAATCAGTTAAAGGCTTTAAGTAAACATCAATAGAGGCCTTCAGATTGGATGAGTCCGGAATTAGGCAACTTAGAAACATATATGGCTTTGACATGCACATTTTAGGAGGAAGAGGAAGATTGTATGAAGTAACAATGATAGACCAACAAGAATAAGGTGAAGATGAAGCCTGAATATATGGATTAAATCCATCAGAGCATAACCCAAGTCTAACATTACGTGGATCAACAACAAAAGTTGGATATTTTCGATCGAAGTGTTTCAAAGCTTCACCATCTGATGGATGGCGTAATACATTAGAACTTTTATTGTCATGGTGTCAAGTCATTTGCCCAGCAGTTTGCATTTGATGCAAATATTCTTCGTAATCTAGGAATTATAGGCAAGTAAAACATGACCTTTAATGGAATTGACTTTTTATGAGTTGTTGTCCTATTGTTCTCATGATATCTTGGCTTTTGACAAAATTTACATTGAAGTAATGTAACATCTTTTTTGTCATTGTCATTGTCATAAAAAAGCATACACTCAGTCACACAATAATCGATTCTCTTCATCTCTAATCCCAACTTTGATACTAATCTCTTGGCATCGTAATAAGTTTTTGGCAAATTATCTTTTATAGGTGTGACATCCAATAACATGCGTGTCATAAAGTCTAAGCATTGATAAGGAATATTTCAATTTAACTTGCAAGCTTAAAGTTTAACATATATTGACAATTTTGAATTTTTGCTCCCTCAAATAATGGTTTATTTGTCTTTGTCAACAAATTATAAAACCTTTGAATTGCTTCATTTGGTGGCTCTTCTATGTTAAGACACTTGGGTCCTTGAAATGATTGATGTTGCCAGAGAGAATTGTACATCATCTCTTGCATTAATATAAATTGGTCTTGTTCAGTCATGTGTACATCAATACTTGAACCACCAACACAATTATCATGAACATTCTTTTCAACTTCAGGCACACATTCTCCATGATTCGTCCAAATCCAATAGTTTGGTTTGAACCCTTACTTATAAAGATGAACTTGAACAATTTTATCCTTCAAAATTCTTGTACAATCGCATTTGGTGCATGGACATCGAATTCCCCCATCATGTTCGTAATACTCATATTTTCGAACAATTCTAACAAACTCTTCAACCCGTATAACAAAAAACTATTTCAAACCTCTTCTACCACTATAACATCTATCATACATCTAACTACGATTAAAAGGAACGTCGTCCATTCTCTATAACAATGAAGAAATAGGATGAATTGATTTTGCATGTAGACAAATTAATTGCAATGTAAACTTGAAATTGGGGTTTGTATAGATGTAATACAACTTATAGGTGTACTACAAATCAAACTTTAATGTTAAGCACAAGTTCATACAATGAATGAACTAAAACTTTTATAAATAATAAGTTATTGTTTAATTATGGTACACACTAATTAAGAACATGTAGATGATTGTATCTGCCAACTAATTAAAAACATGCAGATGATTGTATCTGTTAAAAACATGCAGACTGCTACAATGGGAACTAAATTATGAACATATATATATACTTATGAATGTTCAAGTAATTACAAAATTTTCCCAATAAGTAAAAATTGCAGAATAAAATTACACAAAACAACAAAAAACAGTCTTAATTACAAAATTGTCCCAATAAGCAATTTCATAAATCAATGCAGATATGCATTTCATTCAACACTAAAAATATCCAAATAAGAGACTCCAAAAGAAAAAGAAGGAAACCTGCACAGTTAGGATGCACATCAATAGAAACCCTCTATCATACCCAACAAACCCACCCATTTAAACTAAGCAACTTCATCAAAATCTTATGAGATATCAAAACCCAAGCACACATTTTGAGATCAGCCAATGACCCTAGTCCATAATCAGATAAACAAAACAAGGTCAAATCTAAACCACGCAGAAACAAACATCCTACTCAAAATCTTGCAGATCCCAATCAATCAGAGACCAAAAGCTCAAAGAGAAACCAAACCAAACCATAAAAAAACAAAGACCCTAATTAGAAATCAATCCATATTAGAATCAGGCAAAACAAAATTCAACAAACTTAAAATGAGACCTAAAGCATGGACCCATGCATCGAGTTCAAGCTCTAGCGACTTCTGCTTTGAGCAAAGACTCAGCGCTGCCAAGAATGTGTCGATTCCAGTGCGGCGGTTGGGCTGGACTAGACAGAATGGATGGGAGCTTGCCGTTGTTGGGTGGCTCACGGTGGTTTCGCCACAGCTCTGATGAAGGGAGGTGTGGTGGCGCGATTCACGTTGAGGGGGAGAAAAATAGTGGTGTGATGGCTTGCAGAGGGGCTAGGGCTGTCGCGCACGGCTCAGATGCATCGATTCTAGTGCGGTGGTTAGGCTGGACTAGAGAGAGTGGATGGGAGCTCGTCGTTGTGTGGGTGACTCATGCTAGTTTGGGCGTAGCTCCGATGAAGAGAGGTGTGGTGTAAGCTTCATGGTGCGATTCACAGTGGTGCAGTGGCTGTGGGATTGTCGAGGGAGGCCACGGTGGCTCGCGGAGGACTAGGGCTACCACGCGCGACTCATGCCAGTCATGGTTGGTTACGCGGTGGCGAATTTGGGGCTGAAATCAACAGGAATCGGTGAGGTGCACGATAGGAATGAGGGGGAGAGGGAATCAGTGAGTCAAGAATGGGGGATAGGTTTTTTTTGGGTGACGGAGAGTTAGCTTTTACCCACGAACATTTCCGACTGATCAGTCGGTAAGGGATTGTTAATTTATCGATGAATAAATGAATCCGTAATACAAATTTCTTCCACAACAAACACGAACATTTCCGACTGATCAATCAGTGGGTAAGGGATTGTTAATTTATCCATAAATAAATGAATCGATAAAAATTTATTTTCTGACTGATTTAAATCCGTAAGACCATTTTCATCTAATTAATAATTTTCTTATAGTGGTATTAGGTTAAATTTTGAAATTTTTTTATTGAATTAGTCATATCTTTTTTTCAGTAAGATGGTTTTAAGTTGAAATTACATATAATCTGTGGATATAATTTTTTTTTTTTACTAATTTATTGGCAGGAACGAATATCTGAAACGGTTGTTTACTTGGACCAAGACTTGTTTTGGAAAGTTATTACATGTTTCTCGCAAAATTATCTAGATTTAGGGTCTAGTTTTAGAATCTGTCTTTTTTTATGCAAATTTACGTAATTTATCAAGATTAAAATTGAGAATACCAATTTCACGTATAGTTTGCCTATATGTATTTCTATTTTATTTTATTTTTAATTTATTTCTCAATTACTTTAAGTATAGTGAATTTCTTATTTGAATATTTACTTAAATGAAGAGATAAAAATGAAAATTTTAATGTCTAAAAATACTAAACAGTAAAATTGTATTAAAAAAGAAAAACAAAATGTACACCTTAATAAAGATTTAATTATTTTTTTAGGTTTTGAAATTTTTTGATCAATTCTCTCTAGTTATTAAAATTTTTGAATTTTAGTAAAATATAATTTTAATCCTAAAAATACTAAATTTAAAGGACTGAAAATATGTTTAAAATATATTTTAATATTTTAAATTCAATATTTAAGGATTAATTTTTGTTCATTTGTGAGGGACTATTTTTTTTTTGAGAGACAAAATCATAATTATCCTAAATAGTAAGAACTAAAAACATAATTAAACTGAAAAAAAAATAGAAGTGTTTTTCAGAATAATAGAAAAATATTTTATAAGCAAGTTTTTTTTAAATAATATAAAAAAGTATAATAATAACGAGGGTAAATTACTTTAAATTTATATAAATTAAATATTTACGACGCACAAATCTTTAAATTAATAAAGTAACTTTTAATCATTCCTTTTTAATGGGTTTCAACTTTTATTGTCTCGTAAAAAATTAATTTGTCATATTCTTTCTTCTTCTTCTTTTTTTCTTTTTTTTTTTTTTTTACTTTGACTATGTTTGCAAAAAACTAATTAATACATTAATTGAAAACTGAAAAACTAACGGAAAGTTGAAAAGTTAACTAATAATTAAAAGTTAATATTGATAATTGAAAACTGTTAAATTAACTTCACTTATAAATATAAGTGACCAAAAATTATATGTTTTTCATTAATATAATTTTTTTACTTTTTATGGATTTTTTTTATAAAATTAAAAAAAAAACAAGATTTATGGGATATATAGTACCACATAGTACATAATTAACTCGTGATAATAAATTATTCAAGAATTTAATATACACAAAAATTTCTTACAAAAATTTTTATGAAAAATTCGTAAGTAAATTTTATACAAATTTAAATTTGTATATAATTTTTTACAATTTAAATTTGAATGTAATATTTTACCATTTAAATCCCTAAGTAGTTTTTTATTAGTTTCAATTTAAATGTAAATTTTTACCAATTTTAAATTCACAAGTAATATTAAATTTACAAATAATCTCTTGATAATTTTAGATTCTTAATTTAAAATTCGCAGGTCATTTTTAATGAAATTATTTAAAAAAAAATATTTGTAAGAAATTTTGTATAAATTTAATATTATATATATATATATATATATGAAATTGACAAAAAATATCTTTATTATATATTTTATTTTCTTAGGTAATTAAATGATTATAAAAGAAGTTTTGTTTATTTGACTAAAAAACAAAGCTAAAATCAAAATTAATATAAAAAGTTTTTTTAAGAGAATTATTTGATTTTATGTCAACATGATTTATGTGAATTGTAAGATAAAACATAAATAAAGTAAAATACTATTATATGGATGAATTGAAACTCTTAATGTATGGAAACATAAGATTATCTTAAACATAAAACTCATTTCTACGAATAACCTTGTTCCCTTACATTTTCTCATATCCATAATGAATTCCAATTAGTTGATTCTACAAAGTCACTTATCATCATTCAACATGAAATAAAAACAAGAACAAATCATAATATTATTCTCAAACAGTACAAATTTTTTAAAATTGTTTGTCATAATTTTTCAATTCTAACAATGCAATGAAAGAAATATTGAAATAAATAAGAGTTGACCAAAATTCATCAAACAAATTTTTTGTCATTCTCATAATCATATCAAATATTTAATCCTATAAATTTAAATGAAAAAGTGTGAATGACTAAACTCAAACGTTAAAACATTAAAAAAAATCAAATTTAATATAAATAATTCACAACCTTAAAACCTATTAAAAAAAATACATAAAAGCATATAATTATTGTTATCAAAATCATATCATATTTTTAATTCCCAACAATTTCATTGTCACATTTAATAATTAAGTGTTATAATAACTAAAGAATAAAATTTTAAATATTATCATCTTTAATGTGATCATTGACTTCATCGTCATCATTTTCATTATTATGTTGAGATGATAAAAATGGGTAGGAAGAGATGCAACAAATATTAAGTGTTGCATTAAGGTTGCTACTTTATTCTTAATTTTAGGCAACTCTTTTTTCATTTTTAGCTTATCCTTTCTTTATATTTGTAACTCTTGTCTCATTTCTTGTTTTTCTTATTCTTACTATTGTAATACTTGAATTTGACTCCTTAAAGTATCAACATTTTCAAAATTTGACTGCTTAGTTGAAGATATGGTTAACATTTTGCTTAGGGATTCAACACCAAATATTCTTTCCTTATTTTTATTCAATTGAATTGATCCTTATATCCAAATTTGATAGCATTTGGTTCATAGATTGTTCACCATCAATTGCATCATCTCCAAAACTATGATAATAATCCTTTTTTTTGTTCAAATTTCTCCTGCAAATGAAAAAGTACTTATTGAAAATATATAAAGAGCAAAAGTAAGTGAAAAAAGTTCAATCTTTTAAAATATTTGATGATTCTTTTGAAATAAAGAAATAAAATAGCACATAAACTTAATATCTTGATTTCTTTATTTTAAAAAATATAAGAAAATCTTGAAAAAAGACATTTCAAAAAGGATTATAATGTATTTCCCTTTTCAATCCACCTAAAAGAGTTTTCATTATGTGGGATTACATCATGCCTTGTTTTCAATTTGTGAAAATCTTAAGATGCCTAATCCCGGAGAAGTTTTACTTCTAGTATAGTCAATCTAGTCTTAGTAAAGAACCACATAGGTGTTAAGTGGTAAAAAATTGATATAATTATGCCTTGAATTGTTATAAAACCACTTAACTTATGTTAATTCTAATATATTTTTCTCCCAATATAGGATGAATTTGAGAATACCTTGATACAAGAGTAAGGAGCATAATTGTCAGCATAATTGGAGTAAAATTGAAAGAAAGAAGAGCGCTTAAGCGAATGAATGATGTGAGGCCCGACCCAAATTCTTTTATAAAAAGATAAGTTGTGTTTTGAAAAAAGAAGCAGTCTTGGAGAAGAGGAGACACGACTACTGTTAGGGTTTTGTCCAATCTTCATCAATTCTTCACTTCTTCATCAATTGGAGCATTGTAATGGCCAACATGAGTGACTAACTTCATTCTCTTAGGATTCAACGCACTTCCTTTGAACTCTTTTGTATCATGGTGATATTTTGAGATCTTAATCTATACTTTGATGTTGTTATTCTTATCCTTTATGCTTTGGAATGATTTATTCTTGATTGTTTGAGGTATGATTGAAAAATATATCTTGAATCCTAGATCACGGTAAACATATTTGTTACGTTAATTGCCAGGAATGGAATGAATGTATCAATTGCTTAACACCCCAACCCTAATACTGGAAAATCTGTTAATTGTGTGAGGAATCAACATTTATTAGGTTTTCTTATGAATTTCATGTGTGAGGAATCAACATGGATGATTTGAGTAGGTGACATCAACATTGTTAGGTTAATTGACGTTCTTAATTGATTTAACCATTACAAAAGAGAGATAAGGAAGGAAGTCAATCCTAAGTACCTTTAATTGATATATTCTAAATAATTTACAGTTCTTTGTCATTAATTTCAATTCAACTCTTATTTGCAAAACTCAATCTATTTAAATCTACTTAGTAAGCATAATTGGGAATTTCCATTAAAACCGTTCCTCGTGGGATCGACTTTTATTTAATCGAAATGATATACTGCAATCGATAATTTTGGTACGCTTGCCAATAATTCAACAAGTATTTCTAGGCGTCGTTTTCGGGAATGGTGTTCTTTGAGAATTTTTTGTTTAGCTTATTGAGTATTTTATTTTTATTTCTATTATTATTATTATTATTATTATTATCATTATTATTATCATTATTATTATTATTATCATTATTATTATTATCATTATCATTATTATTATTATTATTATTATTATCATTATCATTATTATCATTATTATTATTATTATCATTATTATTATCATTATCATTATTATCATTATTATTATTATTATCATTATCATTATCATTATTATTATTATTATTATTATTATTATTATCATTATTATTAATATTATTATCATTATTATCATTATTATTATTATTTTCATTATTATTATCATTATTATTATTATTATTATTATTATTATTATTATTATTATTATTATTATTATTTAGTTTTTAGTTTATGCTAATATTTGCTTGAGTTACTCTTTTGATTTATGCGTTTAAG